CACTTCCAAAGTCATATAAAGAATATTATTTATTGGCGCGGAATACAATAACACCGTAATGGGTATAGCGGTCCATAGACGTATTTGGCTCGGAACGGGGGCCTTTATTTTCCAACGCGTAACTGGTCGGCTCCGTCGAGATCCGTGGGTCTTAAAGCGTTCTTCAACAATATTCGGTATAACCAGCTCTCGGTATAAAAGCATATTTTAAGCGCGTACAAAGCTCGAGCCGAAGACTAAATTAAAGTTTAAAGTTGCGCATATTTATGTTTTAAACGCGGCACCGAAGAGAATTGGACATTCGACAATCTTTACCGATAGTTTATAATGATATTTTCTTGTCTTCAAAACACCCGTCATAATAGAACGAAATAAAATTAAACTCTAATCTTAATTGAGTTGTTAAGGTTTGGAAGATTGTATAAATTTAGATTATCTAACACAAATTCTACGATATACTCGTTGATATCGATTTAACGATTTAATTTTTCTTTAATAGGTGTCTAAGGTGGTGGTTAATAAAATTCTTCTTTATAGTATAAGCAAGAGATGTAAAGAGTCGCATAAAAGCAAAACAATATAATAATCAAAGTTTTATTTACGGCCCAAAGAAAGTAAAAAGGTAAAAAAAAATCGAAAATCAAATTAAGTCCGAGGCACCATCCATATTATGGTCATAAAATGGTACCGCCCACATGCATTTTTATCCTCAACTCGAGAACCTAAAGACCGTAGATACCGCGCGGTTTCATGGGTTATGGGGCAATTATCTCTCAGCTCCAACCATCTACTAGCCCGGAATATAATTTTTTAAATTATCGGTTTCGTCTAATAACGTTCCCAATGTTCGTATCGTCAAAATGGCAGAGCGTTTTAATGGCAGAATGTGCATTATATTTTTTATCTGTTTAAAAATTTTGTTTGTCATCAAAGTACCCAGCAGAGAATATTGTTGAAATAATAGCAATGAATAAGCAATCAATAATTACAGGTGTACTAAAGAACATAAAATATATTCCCATTGCAGATATTTTAGATGCTGTTATATACAGGGTGACCCAGGGTCGCGTTAAAGTCCCATAACTTTTTACCTAATTGAGATATCGACTTGATTTTTTTTTCAAAAGGTAGGTACAATAATACTGCGTATTATTAAAATAGTTTCGTCTATACACAGGGTGGCTTAGAATTAGAAATTCACTAAAGTTACCTTTTTTTTAATGGAACCCCCTGTATATTATAACATTTTTGAATTCTTTAGTGAATTTTAGTGTGACTTTATGTACCATACATTGTACCTAAAACCAATCGTTTAGTGGTAATTCGACATTTTCGAAAAAAGTAGAGGTTTGAAAAAAAATGAATATTGCCGCTTTTGTAAAACTTAGGAGGTCGTGACTCTGGGTTATTAGTAAACATGAAATGTACTACTGTGTGACATGGATTCAGAATTGAATACTGTTTGTGTTCTTAGATATCGATAAGCAAATTTACAAAATTTCAATTAAAGGTAACTTGATTTTTTTAAATGAAACTACCTACTTTTTTGTACACCATCTTGTAGGAAATTTTATTGCCTTTCTAACGATATAACATTGTCAATATTTTTACCTGCTAGTTTTCTCTTAATTCCGGAATTTCTTATAATTCGCGGTAATTTTCAATTTTCAATAGTACTGTTCAAAGTGGCTCAATATAGTAAATTAAATTAAAATAAAACAAAACAAAAATTTTATAAAAGATAGTGAGTTATAAAAAAAGTATACAGATCAATCAATCAACTACAATTTATTTGATTATAGGGAGATAATGATAATGTACAAGGAATAATGTAAAGAACAGTTTTTTTTGATAGCACAATAATTTTTCTTACAGTAGATGCTCAAAGATATTGCTATTATGTTCGATTACGTCTTCTTAAAAACTAATTTTTAAAGCGCGTTAGCATGTTTTAATCAATTGATCGAAAAGCGTCTCTTATCCGGATCTTCATGTCGTTAGCTGTTGTTGGCCTGCCCGTTCCCGCGATTTGACACCTATTGACTTTTTCCTATGGGGATTTGTTAAGGACAATGTCTATAGTGTTAGGCCAACAACAGCTAACTACCGCGAATACTACCAAATTACCGCGAATTATAAGAAATTCCGGAATTAAGAGAAAACTAGCAGGTAAAAATATTGACAATATTATATCGTTAGAAAGGCAATAAAATTTCCTACAAGATGGTGTACAAAAAAGTAGGTAGTTTCATTTAAAAAAATCAAGTTACCTTTAATTGAAATTTTGTAAATTGGCGTATCGATATCTAAGAACACAAACAGTATTCAATTCTGAATCCCTGTCACACAGTAGTACATTTCATGTTTACTAATAACCCAGAGTCACGGCCTTCTAAGTTTTACAAAAGCGGCAATATTCATTTTTTTTCAAACCTCTACTTTTTTCTAAAATGTCGAATTACCACTAAACGATTGGTTTTAGGTACAATGTATGGTACATAAAGTCACACTAAAATTCACTAAAGAATTCAAAAATGTTATAATATACAGGGGGTTCCATTAAAAAAAAGGTAACTTTAGTGAATTTCTAATACTAAGCCACCCTGTATATAGACGAAACTATTTTAATAATACGCAGTATTATTGTACCTACCTTTTGAAAAAAAATCAAGTCGATATCTCAATTAGGTAAAAAGTTATGGGACTTTAACGCGACCCTGGGTCACCCTGTATGTAGGTTACATGCATAGAAAATTTTATAAATTTGTCATTTTAGATTGATGCTAAAGAAATGGAAATAAGAAAGGATAGTAAAAAACATGAAATAATCATTTCTAAAGATTAAATAGAAATTTTTAAAAGCGAAGAATCTGAAATAAGCATCAGAATAAACGCCGGTTAAACAAATTCTCGATAGCATTAATAATAGAGATTTTATTTTTATAAATCCGACCGAGGGCGAGTTTCATTCCGTTTCGTTTCATTTAGTCCGACTTTAATGGATACCGTACTAATCGCTTAGACAAAAAATAAAAATTAAACTGACCAGTCGATACGCTGGCAAGCATTATACTCAAATGAAATATGTGAAGCCGCTAGCGATCCTCCGCTGCTCTCTCGACTCGTTTTTTTTTCTTCCTTTATATGCTTCACGATATTTTTTTCCGTTTCGATTTTTTTTAGTTTCCAGCGGCGTATCGCCGGTAATTAATTCCAAAATTCACTTCTACACTTTAGGAAATTACACTAGACTTTGTTATTGTTTATTGCTTATTTACTTCCTTAGATTTTGAGATTTAAATTGCACATCAACTTCAATGTCGCCAGATGTTGCAATTTTAATTGAACACTACAAGTACTTTTATTTTTATTACATCGATCTTGCGTACTCGCATTAATTGGCAACAAGCTCGTTACTTGCAATTTTCAAATGAAAATCGACGAGTACGATGTAGTCGAAAGCCGTTTTCGATGCGCTACTGCATCACTTGTGGTTCCCATTCCGCTGTTCATCGTATAATTAGTTGGTTGTAATGTAAAAGCAATTCGTGCATAAGGAACAACTAATATTCTTAATTATATATACTACCTTCTCTGTGCGTTTGCAGCGACCGCTACAATATTAATTACATCAAGCGAGATATTCGGTGCTGGATTTGTATAGTTGCTAAATGATTACAGTTGCCAATCCAATGGAAAATTGTTCCAATTAATAAGATAGTAAAAAGTGCCTAGATTTCTGTTTAAATTCAAGTTTAACTGAAACATTGGCATTCTCGTAACAATTTCCGAATCTCCAAATATTTAATCTTGAAAAGCAGAAATAAAATCTAGTCGAATTTCGAAAACGGCGGGGAGCCGAGACCGGCGGAGCGCCTCGGACGCGGAGAGACGAGATGAGACCGCGTATCTCGGACAATCTCGAAACTCTAAATCTCGAATGAAAATAAACATGCACAAACCCGCTCTGATGTGACTGATCTGACATGGATATTTTGTAACTCGAAGTGAGTTTATCTGGATTTTAGATCGGAATCTTTATCTCCGAATCCGAAGAACCAAAAGGTGTTTCACGGGATTGAATGCACTGTTTCTGTGCGTATAATATATTATTTCCAGTTGGCTTTAAACGTGTTTTATTGAACGTTTTGCTGTTGTGTGTGTTGAGAAATTCATGTTAAAATATTGGGTGTATTAAAGCGATTAATAGGAATTTCGATAACTAAATTAAAAGTTAATTCAACACCCTCGAATTGGAATATATCCTTATAAAACGCTTTTCTTTTAATTAAAACACTTTTCTATTTTCTTTTCGTTCTCGTCGACCGCTGTTCCTCGCTGCAATAATTCGTTTCGAGCGAGTTACTTAACTCGGAAAACTTCGCCGGATATTTCTGAACATAGTGGAAAATTGTTTCTCAACTTTTATTCAATTAGTGCCGTAAGTATCAGCGGGAGTCCGCCAAGTTCGCGGGGGTCCCTTACCGAATCCAAAATGGCTCCTGAAATATCCTCTTAGGCAATTAAATCTCGTTGCGGACTGCATACCTAACGGCCCGTTTATGCAAATTTTAAATACTCGCCACCTTCATTACGGCTCCGGGCTCTCTAATACGAGTATACCTATGGAGAAATTTACACGCGCACTGCAAGGCGACTTTATATGGAAAAATTGGATTAATTACTGTTTAGTTCACTTTTCTTGACAATAAAATTTAATAATACAAAATTTTATTCATTTGTTTAAAAATGGCGGCTAAAATTAAACAATGAACATTGACAATTGTAATGTCAATCTCATAGGTCTGTCATTTTTATTTGCATGTTTCATTGTAGTTTCATAATTTCTAGTACCTAATGGCAATGAAAATTATGGACAAAAATCTTTTGCTTCATAAATCAAAAATGGTGTTAGTAGCGCACTCTATCAGTTTTAATACGATTGCAGTAAAGTATAAACAAGAAGAAAACTATTTTTTGATAGGTGGCACTGGAGTTGACATACTGACATTTGACATTGTTGACAGTAAATTAAAATTAAATATAGGTTAGTTTTAATTTTAAAAGAATTTTTAAAAATGTGGAAAACGTTTAATTCTGCGCTAACCACGGCAATAAAAGCACAAAATAATTTACTACCCGTTAACGGGCTGCTTTATCAACAAGCGAGGGTATGTTTTTCTTACAAAAAATCCTCTTAACCTAAACATTCGTATTGTAGACTACATTTGTCCTGAAGAGAAAACATCCAGCACAATTGCACAAGGCCGGCTGCAGCCCGAAGAAGTTCCGAAATAAACATTACATTTACGAACTGGTGAAAGATACTAACATAGAACTGCAACCAGACATCGATGTTATACTAACGTCAGTAGTGGAAGGGCTTGGAAACACCGGAGACACGGTCTCTGTTAGACCTACTATTGCCTATCAGAAATTATTGTTGCCTGGCTTGGCCGTTTACGCGAATCCAGAAAATCGCGAAAAGTACAAAGATATCGCTGAAACCACTACCGAAGTCAAGTACAGCACACCTTCAGCTGCATACGTAAGTTCCGTTACCTCTTACGTAGACTACCAAAATTATTTTAGTGAACCAGTAAATGAATCGTATTTTGTTTCAGACGGTAAAAACTTTGTCTCGAGTTCTCATATCTGTAGTAATGAATAAGGATGTTCCTTGGACGTTAAAGCCTTGGCACGTGAAGGCTTCGTTTAGGAAATGCGGTTACGCTGTACCGGAATACGCAATAGAACTTCCCGCAACGCCTATAGTGGGCCCCAATATGGAATTGGAGAACAAGGAATTTGCTGTAACAGTTACGGTAAGTACATTTTGTTATAACTGGGAAAGTGAAAATATAATATTAAAATGATTATATACTGTTAGATAAACAAACAGGAGAAGGTGAACGTTCGTTGTAGAATTCACCATTGGAGTACTGATCCTATCGACAGGTTGCCTTTCATACCCAACTTTTGGGACAACCCGTCGGAACCGATCATTCCCGAACAGAAATCTGTTTTGGATACTATTCCACCAAAAGTAGCTAGAAATAAGTCTCAATAAATAATAGTAATTTATATGAATTTCGTAATTTATTTATTCCTAATAATCGTAATTGTAGATTAACTATTTCCAGTAGAGACCCAAAGTTTTTTGTATAGAGTGTATGAATTTTAGGTCATTTCATCCTGATTACATGATTTTTTAACTAGTTTTTTCAGGATTTTATGTATTACTTTCTGAATAATTTTCTTTGCTCAAATGGCATTTGTGCAATACATAATTCATTCCATTTTTCGTGGATCTAGGTGACAAACAAACCAAATAAATTTTCACTATTTATTCATTATAGATTACAATTTTAGGACTTATTTTTAATTTTATCTGAAACTGTGTATTTGTCGTACGTTTTCGTTGGATCGTACGGTTCCCATCTGCTGGCCGGGAAAATGTGTTTGTTCCTTTCATACCAACTTCTTAATAGAACTTTGCCCGCGTGGGATTCCTCTTTTTCTACGGTAGCGTCATTTAGTAGCCTAATGTCGTCATGAGCGTCAAATTGGAAAAGGGGCCCGCTTTTGCCTCTAGCCTACAAATACAAATATAGTAAATAATTAAAGTACATCAGGCGTTTGTGGTGTTTGCTTACTTTTGTAACAATGAAATCGTAGAATGTATAAGAGTGAGGTAAAATTAGGTCTTCCTTAACATACATAAGTTGATCGGCCATGACTGTTTTCAGTTCGGAAAATTCCCTTCTTAGTAACTCCAAGACCCTTTGCAAAAATTGGTAAATAGAATTACCTAAAATTGAAGAATTAGTATACAATTATCTCTTAGTTGATAAATTTAATACCTTTCTTTATTCTTACTGTTCTTCTGTGCCCGGAACCATCCCAGTAACTAAATGTAATATCGATATCTTCTTCTTTTAGTTTTGCTTGTTGTTCAGCCCACTGTTGTCTCAATTCTTCTCTTAGTCTGTTATCCTCCTCTTCACGTTCTCTATCAGGCAAAAAGCTACAAAACAATAAAACTTACATTCATAATAATATTAAACATTAATATGGCATTACCTAGTATCAACGTTGGGATCTTTCTTAATTTTCTTCAAATTCGATTTATCAATTTCTTCAGTGGATCTTTTAAAAGCTACATTGGCTTCCTTTTCTTCTTCTTCCTCCTTGCTTTCGTCTTCATCATCATCGTTTTCATCTTGATCGAGATTGAATGAGAGAGCTTGTATCTAAAATATAAACTAAATCTTTTTACTTTCAACCATACGTACAATGTATAAATGAAAGTATAGAAATAAAGTGGTGCATCTTATACTGTACCTGTCTCTTTTGTTTATTTTTTTCCGCTTGCTTTGCTTCGATCTGCCTCAACCTCTCTTTTTCCTTTTCAGCCTGTTTCTGGGCTAATTTTTTCTCTCGTTCTTTGACGATATTTTCTTGCTTTGCTTTCATTTCATCGAGGGTCACAAGTCCGATCGTAGAACTCTAAAATAAACTAATGGAAATCCATTTCGACTATTAAAGACTTACAAATCTTACTTTGAGTTGTTGTTCAACTGCATCATAATGAGTTGCAAACTTATTTTCTATATTATTTAATTTTAAATCGTCTTCAATTCTCTTCTTCCTGATCTCCAAGTCCTGCATTTCTTTTTCACGTTTCTTCATGAGTTGCATGGCCCTGCCGGCTTCGCTAGCTGCTCCTTTGTAGTGAGCCATTTTAATTATTTCCCTTATAACTTTTAAAATATTGTTCAAAGAAATTAAATTGCTGTTTTTTACAAAAGCGCAATGATCACAACACAAAATGTCAACACCCATACGTCAATGTCATTTTTGTCAATTTTAAATATACTAAATTCTTCTTATTTGTGGTCTCTAACCTTATCAGTACACAGTAACGAAAGTGGTCAACTATTTGTCAATGCTAATTTTGTAGGTTTTTTTTGGATTCAAAAAGGAAAATGTGCAGCACTAGATTAAAAAACTTTTATAGAATTACAAATATCTTTATTTATCATAAAAATAATCATAAATTATTCATACACAGACAGACTGAATTGCTTTTATCAACAAATAATGAACTAATTGAATTTGTTTCTTTTTGGCAATATGTACACTAGTTTTTCTAATTAATTTACTCTAAACACAACACAACAATTAATTGAATATGAAATGATTTCGTAAGAATGGAATGTTCTCGAAATATTTACAATTCTCGAATGCTTAATCAACTAAAGTAAAAAAATCAGTGGCACTTGACACTTACTGAAAATATTAAGCTTTCCCTCATCTATATCATTTTAATTTAAACTTTTTTTTTATTTGAGATCATCTAAAATTTTGAATAAAAATTTTCAACAATGCTCACAAAATTATTGGTATACAGTATTTAATTTTTAAGGTAATCTTTAAAGTTTATTTGAAGAATATAAATGTGGGAATTCATATCTAAAAATATAATCACAGACAAAATTCAACTTAACAAAAAAAGAATCAAACAAATATTCACTGGTTAATAAACAAAACTTTACAAACTCTATTGCCTTTTAAAAAAATCTTTTTGACAATTTTTGATTATTGATGTTCCTTCCACTCGCTAACACTTTTTATTAATAAAAAGCATCAATTTCATTTCCTTTGATTAATTTTGTATTAATAATCAGTCGTTTAACCATGAGTTAAATTTACATGAAAAATTTAACATTGATTGAATGCCACAACTAATCTACCTCGGAATAAAAAAGTTACATTTAATTATGCTATTTTATAATTCTATTGTCTCTCTACTTCAACTAGTAGATACAATTTAGTCTACGACATTCAAAATAATCCTCGAAAATTAGTAAAAAAAGATAATTTGTAAATTTAAGAAAACATGTTTCTTTTTTATTACCGAGTTAATCATTATTTCAGAGGTAGCTTCATTTTAATGACAGTTGATTAGTTTAGCAAGTCGTTAACAATAAGTCAACCACTCCTTTTTCTCATTAAACAATCATTTGTACTTATCGATATACTGTAATGTGTAACAGGAAGCATTTACCTTTGTAAATCAAGATCGAAGAACGTCGAACAGAATAAATAAAAAAATCGGCAAAGTTCTGAGACATTCTTCAACCTATTTTCTAAGGACTCTAACTTAGTCCCTCAGTATATGTTTATTTACATAAATACTATACAATTAACAATCTTTGGCTGTGAAAAAGACGTAACTAAAACAACAAAAATCCGTAATAAAACTGAACATGCCCTCAAAAATAACTTGGAAAATTGATTTGCATTTTATAAAGGTGTTACAAAAAATATATTAAATTTCAACTTCAATAATTTGAGTTATAACCAAAAGTTTAGTTAGTTTGGAAAATTCGTAACGAAAAATAAGAAAAATTCTGACAATATTCTACTTCAATGGACTACCAATATTATTTGCACTTCACAAGTACTAACTTTTTTATTTTTTATAAGTGTAGTACGGTATTGATATCACAATAAAATATTATCTTTTACCCCAGAAATCAGGTTTTCTTCCTTTGATTATTAAAAAAAAACTTAATTACTTTTAAAAACTCCATAATAAATTTATATTTTAACGTAGTCCACCAAGCTCTGTTAATTCTGTAATGAGGCCATGTTAGTTTTATAAATAGGTCTGTTAAAAAAATAATAATACTAACATTGTCTACTTAAGGACAACTAAATGAGATCTGTTGCAACTCTTTAAAGTGCGCCTCACTCTCACTCTCTCTCTCTTTCAAATCTTACACGTATAGATATTAAGTCTTAGGTCTATATAATTACAAAATATACACAAGAGGTATTTAAAAAAAATTGCCTCACTTTCGTATTTAAGAATTGCATTGGAACGATTAAGAGTCAGTCGTGCTAATTATGCAATTGGGTGTATTAATTTATCGTTTCTTTTGTTACGAAAATCTACCGATATTTTCCCTTAAATAATTAATTTTAATGTTCGATAACCGCTTACAAGACTGACTAATATGAGATTCTAAAAGCGATAATTACATAGTTTTAAATAAAAAATTAACGCATCAACTTGGCACGCGATTAAGTTTTGTTTAAGTCTAGTTAAATACTGCAGAATTTCATGAAATATCCATGAAGTTAAAATTTGCTAAATTATTACACCCAATATTAAATAAATAACTAAAAATACAGTAAAAAAAGAACATCTTAAATAGTGGTATTGTCGGATGCTTGTATTTAGAGAAAAGCGCGTGCTATATTACATAGTATTCAGCAATCATCGACACTGCTGAAAAACTCTAAGATTTTCCGATTCCATTTCACAAAAGTTGCTAATTGACAGATTTTTTTCTAATCATAATTTACAGCTGCATTCGTGTCAAAATGGCACGATTATTAATATTTAATTCGTTTAAATTGAATGTAGAACAGCGAATTTCAACGGGCTTTTAATATTTTCAATTCAAAAAGAAACACCTTACCTCGAAAAGTTTAACACGTTCCTGACCGAAAAATCGTTTCCACCAAGAAACAAACAAAAATCCTACAAGTCAAATTACCAACGACAAATAACATTAAAAAAATTCATTTAAATATTTTCAGTACAAGTACCTATTATTCGTACCATTTTTTCAACGAATATCAGCCAAATCTCTCCTTAACGAGAAACATAAGTTTCTTCTTTCCCTTGTAAGCAACCTTCATGTTCTCAATCAGTTGCGTGAATTGCGCATGCCCGTCGTGAGCCAAGACGAAAGTATCCCTGGCTTTCGTTAAAAAATCTATGAAATCTCCGTAATGTCGAGGAGATATGTGAGTTAATCTGGAAAGAACGTAATTAATTAGATAAAGTAACGAATTAGAATTGTCGAAGCCGCTGATGCTTACCTAGAATGTGTAGTGTTGATGTAGGCGGCGACGGCGGCTTCTAGAAGCTGTCTCAACGGCGGTCTATCGTACGATAGAGGCTTGATACCCCCGCCCGCACATCCTCTACCGCGATGGGGATGAGGGTGTTTTCCACCATCCAAAGGCGCTGGATGGGGACAACTTATTCCGGGAGCGGTCATACTGCATCTCCTCAGTATGTCCGAAAGAACCGTGGCACATTGCACATTTTTCACAAGCAAAGGAATCATATTAGATAGCTCAGTTTTGCCTAGAGAATGACTTAAAGCACAGGCCCAATGTATATCACTTATGGCAGGATGTGTATCTTGGTTATACGCCAGATGGACGTTTTTCATCGCTAACATAGCCAGCTTGTACGCTCTAGTCGGATAACCTCGATGTTCCATATATCTCGCGATTGTAAATAATTGAGATGATGTCATAATGACCGAAGCGGCGTCCACGACAATTTGATAGGCTGTTTCGAAGGCTAAGGCTTCGTTTTCGCACAACGTTAAGGCATTCAAGGCACAATTTGGAGGGTCCTGAAACAAACGATTCGGTAAAGATATCGTTAGATTTTACATCGTAACATTTCCCAATACCTTTGTCGCGCATTGCAAAGCAAGCGTTCGAGCGCAGCTAGATAATTCTTCTTGCTGTCCGAAATTCAAATTCAATCTCATAATGGTACTGTGTGACATTATAGTGGTAGCGACGGGACCGGTAGCTTCGGTAGCGGTAAAAAATTGATACCAATTCTGCATTATCGAGATCAGAGCGTCTACGCCCACTTCGGTAGCACACGTTACTAACCACCTCACCATTTCGCGCCTTCGCCAATTCAACGAAGACAATGTCATTCTCATTACCTGCAATGATAAATTAAGCGTAATTAAGGAAATATAAAAAAATATTTTAAAATAATTTACCTGTAAACCTAATTCGAAAGCTACGCTCAAGAGCGTTGGATGTCTCGGCCCGTTTTCAGGCGTAGCGAAACGAAATGCGTCCTGCGCCAATTTAAATAAATGGGAAGAACTGTGGATATGTCTCTGTGATGATTCCAGTACCGTACGCAACCGCATCACTTCACCTAAATCATACAAACTCTCTTTATAATACGTTTCAAAATATAATTAAATTAGGTACTAGAACTGACCTTTAGCTGCGCTTAGCATAGTCGAACTTAGAGCGCACTGTTGCGTTTCGATGTGTCCCAAAGTGAACCACCTCGGAGATCTGTTCATCATCAATGAACTGCTGGCCGTGCCTCCTAAAGGGTCGTCGGAGTCCTCGTGTTCCTCCAGCAGCGGTAACCTCATTGCCCTTAAGCCTACTTCGTACGCCAGATCCGGGTAATAATTTAGAAGCGAGAGAAAGAGAAACCGGGCGAACGTGTGCATCGGGATGCTTTCGGTGTGAATTCCTATGCCGAGCCCGCTGGACGGGCCGCCTTCTAATAGAATGATGGCCTGCCGTCGGAGAACCGCCACCAGACTGTTGTCGAGCTCGATTTCTTGCAATTTCGCAATCAATCGATCTTCTTGTTTGCAAGCTTTTTCCTATCGAATGAAATTATTCAGTTAGAATGGAAAAATTGTGTTGGAAAAAACCAAATCTACTTACCTGAGCGTACAACCCTACAGGCATAACCCTTTGCTGGCCTAAACCGATCAAAGCGACTTCGAACGCTAAGTTAAGATATGTCTCCGACCTATCTCGCGATCCAACGACGGGAACATGGTGGTACCTCGGCCTTAAATTACTATGTTGGTCTTCCATACCTACTAAATCTAAATAGAATAAACATCGATTAATTTTATAAAACGTCTCGTCTCTTAGCACAATAAATTACCTAAATAGCTCGTTGGAGTTCTGGGTCTTTCGTGTTCGGGAACAACGGAAGCATCAGCTAAAGTATCGAACAGACACCCGATGGGATCCAATGGATGTCCCACCCATCCGTCGACATTAGTCGGGGCGTTTCTAGACGTCGTTGAACACGAAGCAACCGTACATTGCCCTTGGCATCGCGATGTACAGGCGGTTACCTACACAAACGTTTCATATTAGCCGTGAATCGGCGGTAATAGAATAAAATCGACGTACCTTACAACTAGGCTGCGGTTTTGTACTAGTACTCGCACTAGTGTTTTGCTGGCTTTCGTGCCATTTACGCTGCGCTACGAGTTGCTGTTGTTTCATGGTTCTCACCACGGAAACTGCTAATCGAAGAGCCGCCTCCATGTGACCGTGCGATCGGAGAGAATCCACTCGAGCGGCGCATAATGGTATCGATTCTTAAAGGGACATTTCGTATTATAGTTACTATAGTATATTTGTTTGATGAAAAATTATTTACCGTGCCACAGTGGTTGGCCTTGCGAATTAAAGCTACCGGTACTAGATGTGTCAGGAACATGCGAACAGTAAGTGTCGCTCGAAAGGATGTTTTTAAGATGCATATTATCCCAAGACATCCCGACTGCGTCTAAAGCTCTATGAAAAACGGATCTGGGTAAAGCTGGCGTTTGAGATTTGGAATTACCGCCTAAACGTAATCGTTTATTCCTGAAATTTACACATAATTATATTATTTATAATGCGATAATAGGTCGTATTTATAAAAAGAAGCATAACCTTTTGCTTTCAAAAAATGAAGGAATTGCTTCAAGGTATATGCATAACAAGAAGTGAAGGAAGAGAGGTTTTGCTTCGAGGACCTTGGTGTTGCCTTAAAGCAAAAGGTTTTAAGGTTTAAAAACTTTTGTTTAAGGTTTTAAAACCTTTTTCTCTTACTTTTTGCTTGTACCTTTTACTTCAAAGCAAATGCTTTATTTTTATAAATATGGACTATTATGTTTAATTAGATTTATTTTACCTATGAGTGTACGAGGTTGAGTCTTCATCGTCGTCGTCCTCTGAACTGTCTGAAGAATCGTACAAGAATCTATTTCTGTCTCTTTCTCTCTCTCTGTCCCTATCCCTCCTTTCTCGTCTATCTCGTTCCCTATCAGCGTATCGATCTCGATCTCGGTATCGTTCGTCGTATCGATCTCGATCCCTGTCTCTATTTAAATACTGCAAACAAAAATAAAATATTAATATTCGACATAAAATTACCACCAAATTTTCTATTACCGAGTCCCTAGATCCTTGCTGTTGCAACCGATAATCAGGATCCTCGGGCGGACACACGTCGATCACAGACCATTTTTCTAAAAGTTGCTTCCACTGCTGCTTCTCCTGTCCCGTACAATTCGGATTCAGCACGATGCAGACCCACAGCGAGCCGAGTTGATCCCACAATTGCCGGCACTTATCAGTCATCGGCGTGCCTTGGTTGCGCCACATTTGCAAACGGGGATCCGAAAGGAATTGCTCGGTTATGAGAGTCAACATGCGGGCCCCGTTGGAGTCCTGAGCCCTCAGCATTTCTCTCACCTGCGACATCGATCGTCGATGTTACTTCATCGAAACGTTCGTTAGAACAGCGAATTAGCTTACCTTAGAAAACAACGAGTTCAATTGCTTGTTGGCGTTGTAATAGGCACCTTGGGAGAGGTAGCTTTTGACCTGCTCGCAGACCTGCTCTTCGTCGAGGTGCCAAGAGTGCTCGTCATCTGCGGAAGCGCCGGCCGTCGGGTCCGGCGCTCCCGGTATTTGGTTGATCTCGGACCGTTGCTGTAGGATTTCGTCTGCTAGCTTCTGCGCCGTCGGAAGCACCTCCGTGTGATGCTCTGAGATCAGGTACTGAACAAACTTTTGCAATTGCTGCCTGTCCATTTGGAGTAGCGTTTCTGTAACGTGTAAATTTCGGTCAACGAATGATTAATGGATAAACCCTTCGCAATATTTTCATGTGGATTCATTGTGTGTAACGATACGTTTACAGTATGTGTTTTCCTTTGCTAGGTTTTTAATATCATATTATAACTTTGGCAAAAATCCATTGGATAAGTAGAGGTTCTATAGGATATTTTAAAATATTTTTTTGCAGATTTAAAATATATTCTCACCTTGGAATTATGAAATTATTTTTATAAATTAGATAAAAGAAACAAAAATTAAATATTTATTAAATTTGTAATAAAAAGAACACATTCGATCAATTCGAGAGCATAGATAATACATTTTTTTTATAAAATATACTTATATATTCGATAAATATTACAAATATAAAATAAATTTGGGGCAAACTTTTGATGCACACTAAACTAATCTATAAACAAATGACTATACATATAGAGATTTGCTCCAAATTTATTTATTTCCAATATTCAGTTTTGTGATGAAACTAATAACAGAATTTTAACTTAAGCTGCAACAAAGACACAGCGCGTGTCAAAAATAATCCTTAATTCATGTAATATGAACTGGCATCAATCCCAGTCCACCTTTAGTAGTTTTGGCGGTTTTAGTAGTTTTGGCAGTTTTAGCGGTTTTGCCTTTAGCAGCGCCCGCTTTCTTTTTCTTGGGACTTCCTCCTTTCTTTTTGAACGTTTTTCGCCTTTTGCTTCCCCATTTTTTGAAAGTTCCCGTATACTTTCTCTTTTCTCCCCTGAATTCAGATTGCGACGATGACCAAGCACTTTCATCAGAACCGCTAAATGAGGGTTCGCTTATCTTCGGAACCGTTTCCAAAGCGTCCACTTTTTCACGAAATTTCGAAGTGATGGCCAAGAAGTTTTCTCCGCATTTTTTATAATTAGCGGCAGTAACGTGTTGTATCTTCAAGAACTCTTCCTTGGTTTTCGGAAGCACCTCGGACATAGTTTTAATGGCTGTAAGATTCATAATAGAAGATAAGGTTAGATTACGTTCGAGCGCCATTCTTCGACATTCTTCCAGGAGCTCTTCGTGACATTGTACTTTGAGATTATTAACCTTAACTTTATTGTAAGCCGAGTAAGTAGATTTTTTACTAGTTGTTGCTGTTGTAATTGGCAACTTCGACGGTCCAGGTGAATCTGTTTTACCTTCCTCGTCGGATTGCAAGTTGGAATTATTACTATTGTTAGTTACAGTTAAACTCTTCAAAGAGGTTTTGTTAATGGCTATGGTAATTTTTAGATTTGGCGTTGCAAGTAGACCGAATTTCTTTCCCGGTTCGATGTAAACAACAGGAAATTCTCCTGCTTGTGTAACGTGATCTCTTAATATATTCTTTAATACTAAATCTTTGAGAATCCTGTGAATATCCGTCTTGTTCAAGGACGAGCCAGCGCCGTAATATTTATGCCTATCATAGCCTAATTGCAGGATTTTCTTCAGCTTCGATCCTTTGTAAATATCCGCCACGAAAATCATAGTTACGTTTCCTTTTATTGACGCATCTCTAACCAGACAACCCAACTCTTTAGCTTCTTTTGTTACTTCTATCATCTTGTATGCATTGATATTCTCGCAATTATCGCACGTCGTGGCTTTGTTTCGAATACACACTTGTCGATCGAAATTTTCGCCCAAATGAATAAGTTGAAGATACCGTCGACAATCTACTACGTTTTCCGAAAACGATACCATTTGATGGAGATTGTTGAAATGGCCTTCGAGGACTTTCGCGCTAGATTTTCGTTCCAATTTCATTAGCTAAAAAAACCAATTCGTTGCAAATTGATATTCTCTATTCCTTATCAAAGTTTGTATGTCTACCTTTTGTAAACGAAGTACATCGCTATAATTGTAGAATAAGTACGAATACGATACATCTCCGTCTCTTCCAGCTCTGCCAGATTCTTGGTAAAATGCTTCTACTGATTTCGGAACTGAATTGTGTATTACGAATCGAACATCCGGCTTGTCTATTCCCATACCGAAAGCTATTGTAGCTACTATAACGAAAAATCTAAAAAAATACAAAATAATTTGTCGTTATTTACATTAGACACTTTAAACAAACCTATCTTGCATCCACTCCCTTTGGATGGCGTTCCTAATTTTATCTGATAATCCGGCGTGATAGGGCCTACTCGGAATCCCAGCTGCATTTAAAGCATCCGCTATCGATTCGCAATCATTTCTCGCCAAGCAATAAATAATACCCGATTTTTTGATAAACTTATTTTTAATTAAGCCAATGATCTCTTCGAGCGCTAATTTCCCTTTCTTCGGCCTTACTTGGTACTTAATATTCGGCCTGTTGAAACTCATTATAAATCGTTTGACATTTTTGAGTTTTAAAATCGATATAACATCATTTTCCACCTCTTTAGTCGCAGTGGCAGTAAGGCACATTATCGGTACGTTTTTAAATTCGCTTTTAAGAAACGTCAATTGCTTGTAATCAGGTCGAAAGTCGTGGCCCCATTGAGACAGACAATGCGCCTCGTCTATGACGAACCTAGCCAATTTCCCTCTTTGATAAAGGTATTTCAGTACATCGGATACCGTCCTCGAAGCCATGATCTTTTCCGGTGTCAAGTAAAGAAGTTTAATCAAGGGTTCCCTGCAATGCAATTTATTCATGATGATGGCAGTTTCGTCTTGTCCCACGTCTTGGCACAAATGCGCGGCGGCAATGTCCAGTTCGTTCATTTTATCGACTTGATCTCCGATCAACGCCCTGAGGGGGGATATAATTATGGAAACACCTTCGCTCAGAACAGCCGGTAACTGATAACACAGACTCTTTCCGCCACCGGTGGGCATTAGTACGAAGCAATCGTGATTGTTCAGCGTTGCATTGATGATTTCTCGTTGTTGCGGTCGAAACGACTGTAACCCGAAGGTTTGGTGCAGAACCTCTTCCATGGTCGAAGAGAAGTGGTAATCTGTTTTAAATTCATCGGTGTGATCGACGCGGTCTTTGAAACTGACGTTGGGTACGTACGTTTCGTCGTTTTCGAAAATCTCTTCGTCCCAATCGACTCCCGATATTTCTTCTAAAAAATCTTCCGCAGTTGCATTCAATTTCGTCGGTGTTGCTTTGCTGTGTCCGGCTACTTTTTCGCTCCAATTTGTATCGCCCGAGTCGATGAGGTCCGCGTTCGAAGCAGCTTTAGGTTCGCTTTGGGCTCCAAAAACTCTTTCAAACGTTTCATCGTCCATATAATCAGCTTCGGTTGCTTCTAGGCTTTGGCTAACGCAATCTACACTATCATCGAGTAGTTTGTTGGTGGTTTTATCTTGAATGATGGGGGAATTTTCCGTGGAACTAACTGAAACGACACTTTTTCGACTTGTGGTGTCTCTATTATTGCATGGTTTAAAAGACAGCAAGCAGGGGCTACTTGTATTAGTAGAATCGGATGTTGTAGGTTTTGTAAAGTTGGATGTCTTTTGTGCTCTTATAGTAGTATCAGATTCATTTAGTTGAGTAATATTGGCTAGCTTGCTAAACACTTTATCGGATTCATTCGGATTAATATTATTTTTGAGGTTATTTCGGCTATCACTTAATTTAGAATCTAATTGAGTTTCATCATTTGCTCTGGGCTCATTTATGCTGGGATTAATTTTTTCTCCAATAAGGGCTTCAAACGCCAAAGCGACTGAAGGACCGGAGTATTTTCTGAATTTGAATTTTGATGAAGATTGTTCTGAAGTTTTTTGCGTTGTATTCGTCCTATTTGGTGATTTCGAGAGAACATTTTTCAGTCGAGGCTTCTCTGGTGAAACGGATTTATTAACTTTTATTGCTAACTGAGATGCTTTTTGTGTTGGCTGCTCGTTTTCGAATTCATCGGAACTACGTTTTGACAAAATTAATCTTTGACTACTAAGAAACGGAGACGAATTAGATTTTTTGTTAACTTCCTTCTTTTTCACTGGTTCGTGTATCACAGTATCATCACTAAAAAGGGCTTCTAATTTTTCTTCTACAGTAGTGTCTTTTTTCTTAAAGAAATGTGAAATGGTCTGAGATTTGCCGGCATTAAATTGAGGTTTTTCTACTTTCTTGAACACAAATTTCTTTGCAGTGGACGTTTTATCATCATTCTTCGTTTTTGAACGACATTTCGAATTATCTGCCATGATGGTTTACTAAATAAACTTGAACATACTATTATTCGGTACATTAAACGTATGTTAACCACTATATTTATTGCTTTTTAACTTGTTTTATAAATAAAAATAGTTTGTTTCGCAAACTTAACCGCCATTTTAGTTAGGAACTGTCAATGTCAGTTGTCTAAACGTCTAAACCTGACGTTAGGCATGCTTTTTCTTCTTTTATTGAAACGACTCTTTCGTGACGGTAATTCAGTTAATCGGGCCTTTCACTTATTAAGCCACTGAAATTTGTGATATCAATTACTAGGTATTCACTAATGGTATTAGTTTCCAAGTTAAATAATGTTACGGTTAATTGAAGATTCGACTAATTTTTAGACTCGAAAAAAAAACTCTAAAAAATTCGTTACTATCAATTTATCAGAATTATGATATCATTATGAATTGTGATAAAATTATCAGAATGCAACTTATAGTAAAGTGCCAAGCATTAATAATATAATTAATAAATATTAAAAAACGAGTTAGATATTAAGTAAATACGATATTACATTCCTAAAAAGTCACAATCAAATAAAAATTAAGTAATTTCATCTGTCCTTTATAATCACATTCAGAAAAAAATTGGACAATTTTCATTGAAATCACATCAATCAAAAATCATCTATAAATTGAGTACTTATTGTCCGAATTGTCATTATTTAATTTATTCCAATTCCGACAAGTATTTAAGAAATAATGTTTTGTATTGTATAAGGTTTTTACATCTCTATTCAAAAATATCTTTTGAATAGAATTCCACAAGGTTTTTCATTCCATTCAGATTATTGTTACCCTTAATTAGACCATATTAAGTTGTCTGGTAAATAATTTGACCGAACTATTTGAAGGGCCTATTTTAACAGTACAGCAAAATTCCAATTGTGTAAGAAATTGCTCAATTTCAGATAAAACGTTTTTATCAACATAGATGAAGTTTTTCAATTTTAATATATCAGTGGACAATTAGATCTAGAAGTTACCAATTTTTTGATTAGGTCAAATCTTTAGAAAACTAATAAATGTGGATGATTTCATTTCTCATTCACTATTGTGTAACAGGGGATATCTCTGATGCTGTAGAATACACAGACAATCTTGTTCAGCAAGAATGCAAGATTGTTAAAATAGGACAACGACTAATCCGGATCGATACATACAGGAACAAACCTTTTTCATTTCTCGGGCGATAACAATCGCAGTATTATTGAATTAACTTTAAAGTTAGTAAATTAAATTCGTTAATGCTCAAAAATAAAATTGCAAATGCTGCAAAATATTAGACAGTAGACTGTCAGAATAAATCAAAAAATTGTTTTAGAAAAAAATAGATCAACTACAGCAGTTTGAATTTCTTTTTCTACATCAACAAAAAATTGAGCTGAAGATATTGAAAATATCAAATTTAACGAAAGTACGACGAACATTATTATTTCTTATTGTACCCTTACTAAAAAAGGCTTACCTGAAATAGGAACACGTAATCGGACACTTTCTGCATTTCTTATGCGGTAGAGCGATAAAGCTACAACATGTTGACACCAAAAAATGTCTTTCGTCTCGCAACTGCATGTCACCGATGTTATTTTACACCTAAAAATGCACAAAAAATATTATTAAAACCTTTAATGTAACTACAAACAGTCTAATAAATTGAGAATTCGTAATAAGAATATTGAGGATGAAAATGTGTTAATTTTATTTGCTCTTACCTATCAAAACTAACGGAAACTTTAAATTTTTGCGGAGGTTCGAGGGCACCGCATGGCAATGTCGCAGTGGGGGAGTTTCGAGGTCCTGTGACAACGCCACTTAAGTGAAAGCCTGAAAGTAAAAATAAATATTATTAATTTGCGAATTTCATCGAATTTTAATCCTACAACAATCAATATATCGATGATGTACATCTTATTAGTAACTAGGAATGTGAGAGTATAGTGCATAACTTTGTGATGTTTAAATCTAACATTTGCGTAAGGTACACAATATTCAATGCATCCGGTACTTTAAGAACGATACTTTGTTGAAATATATACAATTTTGCCATAGAGTAGAGCGAAAAGAAACTTCCCATTGTTCGTCGAACAAAAATACACAGCACAGAGTACAGAAGAGTCTAAAAAGGTCCCCATTCATTCTTCGTGCCCGCATTCGATACAAAAGTTTTCTTTAATCTTTACTTTCACAATACAATATCTATAGAAAATGTGTGAAGGAACTTTTTGAAGTAATATGCTGTATATAATGCGCCGGAGTACAAGTATACTTTTCTTTTTTTTTTTGTTCTTTCATCCAACAAGCTTTACATCTTGCAGGAGCTTGTTGGAAAATAGAAAATTTCAAAGGTGGAAAGCGTAACTTAATATCAGTCGAGGGTAATAAGAACAAATAAGCATATATTTTCTTAATCAATAACAAGCACCTATGGAATGAATCTTATTATATAATTTATTAATTTCTCTTAAAAATACACCAAAAAAATATTTGAATAAAAAAGTTTAAAAGGATTTAATTATTCAAATTTTCGAAATATCGAAATATCGAAAAACCCGATACCTACTGAAGAAATTGAAACAGTTACGAATATATTTCGTTGCGGCTCAGTCTACAAACCGGTCCTGTTTATTTTCCATAACGACTCATACGAATACCAGAATGTTCAGTTCACTTAAGAGGAATGCAATCAACAACATTCAACGCCTCCTCGATCAACGAACGATCGCTCATCCATTCTGCGATCTTCACATCGCATTACCATTTTCAAAACAAAACAGAATCAGCTGAAAACACGCGTATGTTCAATGACTTATTTTTCTTCGTTGAGTGGACGTACACTGGGAATATCTGGTCGTTTTACGTGTACACAGAAATATACATCTGTACATATTCGGTGGCTTCTTTTAAATTTCATCTCGAGCAAAAAGAGGCACACCGTGGCCGGGCCGTAAACGCTCGGGGATGGTTTCTTGATCTTATTACCGCAGAGCAGGCGTCCTTGGAATCTCCAATTCAGTCTACTGTGACGTGTGGACGGTATTCCTTTTTTGTTTCTTCCAATTTCTTTCTATATTCACATCAACAAAGAACCAATGTTGCCCGCATTCAACAAAAGTATCCAAATGCATGTACTTCTACGTTTCACCAGGTCTCTCCTATCCAAAATATGGGCAATCTATGTACACCTACAGATCAGACAATTAGAACACTTCACTGTTTGTTGATACCCCAAATCTTTCCTGCTTAATCACCACTTTTATATCTTTATCTTATCCTAATTGCAGAGATTCTTCATTTTCTATATACCTACCTGATATCTATTATTTATCTATTTCTACCTATGTATGTATGTATATCGCTTTAGTGTATGCTTCAATTAACTTTGTGCATCTCCCATATAAGTACAAAACGCCAGGTAAAATCCGGCAACGTTGCTCGGATATCTTTTCTCATGCTCCTTTGACCTCCCATCAACTTAATAGCCGTTACAGGTTTTGTTTTTCGAGATGCCTACTCGATTTACTCCATTTTTACGCATTTCTTTGTCCAGCAAATGGACTCACTACGAAATTTCCGACGAAAAATAATGCTTCTGAAAACAAGAAGACGTGATGTTATGTGGTGGTTTCTTTGAATTTCGGTTTGGGAAAATGCGTGTGATGATGGTCGGATCACAGTCGGCTTTTAATTTTGTTTTCGGTAATTTCACGTAACCAAAATGATTTATTATACAGGATCGGTGTTTGTACAATAAGAACTGCCATAAAATTCCACTTTTGAAAGAGCTTTTTTTTAACACATTGTAGTAATACCATTAATATAAATTAATGTAACACAAGAAGTATAGCCAGTATTTAACGAATTTGGATTCAATCACATATTCGAAAGGCAGCTGAACGAACCATTTTATACATGTGTATAAGTGTACCTTATCACCACAAAGATATGGCATGTCAGATCACGCATTAAATTTTAATTGTGGCGCCAACTCTAGGAATATTTTTATGGCATTCATCTTTTACCGTCTCCTTTGCTGAACACTTGAATTTAAAGTAAATTAATCCTAATCATTAAACCAATTAAACTCATTAACCTAAATGAACGAATATGCACTTAATGTCCGTACATTGCCCAACAAAAATTTGTGCAGAAAAATATCGTAAACACCTCGTATAATATTTAAAAGTATGTTTTTAATTAAATTTTGTATCGAAGAATTAAATTTTTTTTAATTCGTGGTGTTTCTCATGTATTTAATTATCGCCCCGGCAATGAAACGCGATTCCCCTTCAGTTGAAACAATTAGTGAAATGTCCAGATGGCCGGAAAACTGTTGATTGATAAGGTTTCACGAGTAGCGAGTCGACGTTTCATGAAAACGCCGGAAAACCCCGGCGAAAAGTAATAATTTCGTCAGTCGGAAAATCGCGGAAAACGCTGAAAAGTAAATGGGAAGTCGCACGCGATCGAGTTCGGCTCGTTTCACAACGAGAAAAAAAAAGGGAAAGAGAAAAAGGGAAAGGGTGGAAAACGGAGAAAACATTTATTCGGGTTCTGAAAAGCCAATTAAAGGCTAATTGAGCGATTATTTTTGAGGTGCAAGGGTGGTTTTTGACAGGAATTAAGTTTTGTGTTGAACTTTTTTTATTACCTATGTAACTTAAACAAATTTAAAATTATTTTAATTGATGAGTATTCGTCATTAAGAAATTATAAATTATAATAACTAAATAAAAGTACTCTTTAAATACAACTTTGAGGAGGTCCAATATTATCACTACTAATCCTTACGCGTTGAATGAATAAGTATTGTTTCAAATATATTGTTATTATTGCATTGTTGTATTAGTATGTTGCATTTGCAATTTGTATTAATTTTGATGGGTACCCAATCATTAGATTGGGGCCTATTAAGGCATTAAGTATTTTAATGTATTAACTAATTCGCCGTAAAAGATAATATTATATTCAGATATTTACAGATT